TGTGACTAAATTAAGATAAAGACCACCGTTTCTTCGGGATAAAGGACATGAAACCGATGTATTCTAGCTTACGATTCGATTTACTTTAAATTTAACGCAGTGGACAAGATGCCTATCCTATTGAAACGAATTTTTGTATGGCTCGTTATTTTTAATGTCTGTACGAATGCATCATTAGACGAGGCAATGGACAAGGGATCGAGTTTTTGAGATGCTTAAAACTTAGTACTTCGGAATGGTTTTTGTTTACTCTCTTTCCGGGAAGAAATTGATGGGAGTATACTGCGGCTGACGGTTGTTTTGAGTTTAATGGAACCGTTCCGGACCAACTGCAGGCTATTTTTAACATTATTGTGCAGCTTCCTTCGAGGTATTCATATACACTCTGAGAAACGAAAAAACGTTCCTCCGTAACCATGGATCGGTTTTGCGCCACGATTACTCTATTGAATAATGCGCCTTCTCAGACGCTGCTGTGGAATAGAGTATCGAACAAGACCCGCATCATCCCATCCGCCATCCCACGCATGAATTAGAGCACTTTATGGAAGGTTTTGCGTAAGGATCAAGATTTGCGGGCCTACAAAATTCAACTCGTGCTCTAATATGCAAAACGAGATGGCCATCGATCTCGATTTTTTCAGCGATAAAAATCACTTTTGGTTGAATGGGCACAGTAATAAGCAAAATGGTCACATTCGTGGCCTCTAATTTGTGGTGCTGCGTCTTGATGCCTTCCCAATAAATAGCTGAAGATTTTTTATGAAGAGCCTTGATTTCATGTCAGAAATACACATGAAGGTGTTGACATTCGCTTCCGAGCGGCGAACGCAATTAGAAAATTTAGCTTAATTTTTTTTTTAAATTAATTTTTTATGCATTTTGGATGTTAGTACGACACCAGGGCTTAAACCCGAACCTTTCAAATGGCAGGCAGTACGCAATGCTAACCATTCGGTTACGGCGGCCGAAAACTCCTGGCTTCTCTTCAGTTGTCGAATAAACCGTTCGCCTTTGAGACTCCACAACATCTACAAAAAGTCACTATTTGGTGTGCTCTATTGGTCCATATTTCTTTAAAGCCAGCCGTAATGTTGGTGTTGCGTTACCCATTGATGCTCGCGAGTCATGGTTAATTAATTAATACCCCCTGCGGGTTAGGTGCTCAAGAATTTAGCCGCTGTAAGGCATGCCTGGCGTAAGAGGCTACTAAAATCCAATGGTTCCCGCGACAGTCGGGTCTTTACACGGGAAGATGTTCATGTGGACGACGTGGAGCCCACAAGACCACGCTATAAGCCATACAGCCAACAAAACAAACAGTTTCTTAAAGGAAAGTTTTGGTAAGCGCATTAACTCGCATTGTGGACCTGTGGCAAAGCCTTCGAGGCCATTTTTTGAGGGGTTGTGTGAAGTCACTTATCTACGTTGATAAGCTCGATTAAGCCTCTCGGCTGAAATTTAATCGATCCAACCGCGGCGCTCATTGGTCTGGCCTTTACTGCATCGTGAATACCTCACTTGAATGACTCAGAAAATCACCCCTGTAGTGAAGAAATCGCTTATATTTTACATACATATGTATATATGTAATTATTTATACAATAAACTAAACCTTTCCTTAGTCAGATTAGTTGTTGTAAATAAAAATAAATCAATTATGAAAATAAATAATAATCACTTCAAACTATGACATTTCTACAAATTCTATACACTTACACGTACACGTACATATAAATTAATTCATAAAAGAAATTCAATAAAGACAAACATTAACATTTCTCAAAATCCTTCTCTCGTATGTATGTATGTATGTATGTATGCGTATGTGCATGTCGTATACAATCAAAAGCAGCAGTAAAGAAGACATTCAAGATATCGAAAAATCCAAGACAAGCGAAAAAAGTAGGAAAACAACAATAACAATATTAAAAACAAACAACTAAACTAAACAACTAACAGCCAACACCAACAACCGACAACCGACAACCAGTAATTTCATTGACTGGCATTATTAACGCACTAAAAGTGGTAATCAACATTGTTGTGGCAATTGTAGATACATCATAAAATAATTTGCACAATTTTTTCGCTTCGACGCCTCAAACGACGCGAAGTGGCGGGCCGGACTAGGCGGACGGACGCACTGCCATACGAGCACATGCCTACTACATGCTGGCAATGCAGTTGAGCTCAGCCAAACTGAACTGAACCGAACTGAACCGCACTAAACTAAGCTGAGCTGAGCTGAGCTGATTGCACGCGACGAGACCACGTTGAAAACGAAGACGACATTTGATACCACAAGTAGTTAGTAGAGCTGTTAAATTAGCAGCAAACGACGGCAGCGGCAATAACTGGGCTACGCTAATAGACAGATAGGCAAGCGGGCGGACGGTCGGACGGTCGGACGGACGGTTGGACTAATGAACAGCAGCAGCGTGCTGACGGGCAAATAGACAGTTAGACAAACAGAAAATCCGAGCTACACGGCGCTGGTTGGCAAAGATGGCTAGCCCGCCAGCCATAAAGATGTTGAAGGAGACGGTAGAAACTGACTGACCGTCGACAAGATGGTGAGGCTGTTGCTTTTGGCTGACGGCCACAGTGCTGCCGGCGCAAGGTGAGGTGGTAGCCGAAACATTTGTTAACACTTTAACAAGTTATGATTATACCGCACCGAGTGTACGAGTATCCATTATTGCATAGTAGGTGTACGCTGCTTAACAAACAGCAAGAGGAGTCACAACAACGCCAAACTTAACAAACACACAGCCAGTGTTGTTGTTGTTGCAGCTTGAAGCAAGTCAGGCAGCAAGATCCAAATAAAACAACTGTTGTAACGCAGACCAGGCGAACGGTCATACAACTAGCATCAATGGCTATTGCCTGTGGTTGTGCAGACCCAGGCGGTGACCGTGGCCGTGGTGCCGCAAGAGACCACTGAAGTTATGTTAAGTCGAGTAGCAACTTCACCGCCCCATTGTGGCACTCACTGTGCGACTGCGAACGACGTTGTTACCCACATCAACACAAGCCCGCCCGGCTACTTTTCAAGCCAGCGCACTCTGCGGTGTTGATGGCTTTGGATGTTTTTCCAATGTTTTCAACATTGTACGCATTAGCATGGGCAATTATAACACTCATGTAATAAGAAATCATCAATAAATGCATATTTAATAGAAACGAGAAACAAATAGAAATAATAAAAATATCAAATGTTGCGATGAAAATGTGTGAATGTCGAGTCGCAGATATTTTGCACTTACGACGTGGCCGTCATATTTGAAATCCTTGAAATAATCTAAAAAAAAACTAAGTTCGATATGAACTTTTTCCTTGGAAATATCTATCCTTTCGTCTCATTATCAATACAATCCTCTCACGATTCCCAATGAATCAATGATTTGACTAGAGACTTAGACTAGAGACTCCGAGTTACTGACATACTGCTTTTTCCGCTAATAACCTATTTTGAAACAACTAGGCGAGAGAGAGTTTTCGAAGGTGCGAGAAGAGAGATCTTCACGGAAAGCTTGTCGCCGAGATCTTCTGAGCCACCAAGAACTGCCCCAACCTCATGTAATTTGAAATATGAAGGTCGTGTTCAGCTAACTCTAGAAGTAAGAGGTTGCTATGTCCCACCATAGTCTTGCTGATTTTTTATCGAAATCTTTTAACTTCTGCTGTCCTTCTCGACCCTTGGGCATATCACAACCCCTTACAGTTTGAACTTCACCTACGACAGTATTAACTAAAGTTACTGTTACACGGTTTTTCAGCTATCCTTTCAAGGAATTACACAATAGCAGAGAGTCTCTGGAGAAAAAAACACCACAACCACCTACGGCTTGATCTCAAGACAGGAAGGACCTTTTTAGTAGTTAACTTTAAGGCAACCCCATGTGCGAATTCGTTATAGAAACCTCGTAACTGTCGCTGTACTTCAAAGTAGATGTGTATACCGTGATTCTCGAGCTAAGCACAAACCACACTGTAGTAGCGCGAAGCAGTTTCCCTTCCGCTAATGTTTTTTAATGGAATGACAAAAAGGAACGGAGCTTTTGAGCAAGACATTGAAGGATTCATGGGCGGAAAAAGGTAAAGCTTGGTGGACGGATCAATCAAGAGATGTTTGCTCGAAAATTTTTGTGGACTGCCTGAACTCTCTACTTAGGGAGCGCTCTGATTTCAGTATGAATGATTATACCAGAAGCTATTGGAAGCTCCACCAACCACCTACAATCTGATCATAAAACATGTTGATCCTTACACCGAACTTTTGTGGCACAAAAATAAAGAAACTGGAAGAAGCTCATCTTACCATCTGTGGTCTGGCCTTAAGACATATTGGTTCTGTCACCGAACTTTAGTTCAGTCTGAATTTTCCCGAACTAGCACAAGATTATATAGCCATAAACATGTTCTCGAAGACTTAGATTGAGTTAGGTTGGAGCGGCTTCCACATACGGCACGCCATTTTTAAGAGTCTCCAAGAGTCCTCTGCTAATTGACAGTAATTTGCAGGGCTCGGATGGAACACACTTTCATTGAAATATTGTAGGGTTCTAAAAGAATATTGTGAAAATTCCTTCGTTCGGACCTTAAGGTATGTAGTTCTCTTACTCGTTTTCCTGAAGCTCAAGAACATAGATACGGTTACGTAACAATGGTTGCCAGGCACAACTTTCTACCTCTGACGATCTTCCGCAAGAGTCGTCCTTAGAATCAAGTGCGATCGGAGCACATATTAAGAATGAAAAAATATTTCAGAGTGGTAAATGTCGCGAAGACTGTCAAGAACGAGCTTAACTATATAGTTTGCTTAAAAGACTTGAAACTTTACGCACTTTATTTTAACAAATATTGATCAATGTTCTGCTCACACTTTGAGTTCCGCATTTACTAAACATTTATTAATATTTCGTGTCTTCTTCTCTTCTCTTCCTCCACATTCTACGCGCGCGAACACACCGATTGCCCACAATGCTCACACACAGCGCACGCATTCAGCCCGCGCTTGGATTACAGCAACGAATGGCGCCCCGTGGGCCGCGGTGATCCATTGAAGAACGATCCAACATTCGATTACAGTCCGCCAACGCTCGAGCACGTACGTTACTGGGCAGAGACCACAAAGGATAGCAGTAAAGAGGAAACCGGTGGTGTTGGCAAACAGGATGGAAATACTTTACGACACGCACAACCCAACCAAAAAGACATACTAAAGTTGGGTATGCCGAATGAGCATTTGCGTGGTGGAGCCAGTGTCGTGCATGCATCCTCGCCTTCACCGCATCACCAACCACATCCGAGTCAACATGCTGTGCCACATCACCCCTATCACCATCAAGCTCTTCACGTGGGTGTTGGTAAGAATGCCAAAGGTGAAATGCCATTACTACAACCGAAGTATACATCGGTGCGTCGCAGTTATTATGCGCAACAATTGCCAACACGTCTGATGCCACCACCAATGCAAGCAAACTCACCGCCGATCAACACTTTCAATGTGCCAATGAAGCCGTCGCAAGTTGCGCAGGTGCACAGCGAGTATCGTCACAGTATGCCTGTATCGTCGCAACAACATGTTTCCTCAATGCCCAATATGGGACCATCCACATCGGTGCCAACACAGTCCGTGGCACACATGAAGATGCAGCACTATCCAAGCATGTCAACGCCACCCGCTTCCTCGTCGTGGATGTACAGCTCACCGACTGTTATGCACCATTATCCACAACAACCGCAACAGCAACATCATCATTACGTCATGTCTAGCGGCTCCGCGTTTTCTATGCCAACATCTTCACAGTCCTCGCGTATGCCGATTTCACATGTCTACGACTCACATCCACAAGACTCGCATCACTACTTCAGCTACACCCGGCCCAGTGGTTCAAACAGCATAACCTCACATATGCCACAGGAGTCTCACTCTCCGAACTCCATATGGCACAGCGAGAGCAATATGAAACCAAGCGGCACTGGTCGCAAGCCCTGGTTGCATGAACTTCTGCAGAAGGAGGTTGTGAAGACTTCAGCCAAACCGAGTTATTCAACGTCCGCCAGTAAATATGCTTATGAAAGCACAAAACCAATCTACGAGCGCATGCCGTCAACGACGAGCTCGTTAAATGGTGGTTTCACACCAATCACACCGGTTACGTATGTCTCAGCGCCTCCGACCATTGCGACCACCACGACGACAACAAGTACAACACGTGTGCCGCCTTCATCAGTTGCGATCGCTTACACCACCCCCCGTATTCATTACCCAGTCACAAGCTCAACTGCAGCGCCACGACTCTCAAGCACTACGTCGCGCGTCATTTACACCACACCAACAACAACGACAACACCACGTCCGACAACGTCGACAACCTCGTCCCGACTGCTAATACCAACAACCAGCAATTTAGCCTACCGGCCGACAGTAGCGCCAATGCAAATGACCACAGACTCGCTCTTCTCACACTACAAACAACCTGAGGCGCCGTTGAGGGGTCCAATGTATCTGATCATTGAAGGGCACTCGAAAGTGAAGAAATACGGTAAAAATGGCATAAACTTGAATCTACCAAAAATTGTGCCCGTTATACCGAAACGTGAGCCGGTGGTGCGCATTGCAGAGCCGGGTGAGGAGAAGCGCGGTACACCCGAGACCTTCCACGTAGAACATTTACATGTGAAGACTTCAACAACGACGACGACAACTGCAAGACCCGCAACCACGCCGAAGTCTGCGACTACAGCGACACATATAACGTCCACCACATCAAGACCAACAATGCAATCGCCCACAACGAAACTCCTAACAACCACTACAAAGCCCATGAAGTTAACAGCAGTCACAAACAGCACGGCAAAGCCACCAACATCCACCACCACAACAACTGCACGACCAGCAGCAACCACAGCGTCACCTAAGACCGCCAGTACTCAGCCAACAACAACAAAAGCAGCTACTAAACAAACTGAAAAGTCCGTTCAGTCAAACACCACAAAGTCTGCACAAAGTGAACCGCAACTAAAGCTCGAGCTGCCTAATGAACCACCAACTGGCATGGCAGGTCTACTAAGCCTACTTGACTCCTCGCTGGGTGGGCTCTTCGACGAGCAACCATTAGATAAGACCGCGCTGCTCTCTGCACAAAAGACAGCCACTTCAGCGAAGCTTGCAATGAGCACACCCAGCACAGTTTTGCAGGCAGTAAACTCCGCCGCGACCACAGCTCAGTCCGCAATTGTACCTGTCGCAGCAAATTCACTCATTGGCACTAACGCTGGCAATATAGCTGCGGCCGACACGTTTGACGGTTCAATGGGATCAGCAGAGTTCAGCTTTAGCACAGATGTGCCACCACGAGAGGTGCGCCAAGTTTTCGATTACGATCAACGCCCGGAATCACGTCTTAAGGATGTGGCAATTGAGAACTACGAAGGCGCGATGGATGAGGGAGCGTCTTCAGCTTTCTACGATGACGATGAGTTCGGCGAGTATGAAGATATAGAGACGGCGCTTGGACAACCAATCAAACGCATGGATCGATTTGTAGGAGACGAGGAGGGTGAGTTTGTGGGCGATTATGAGGACGTGGAATTGGAGGAGTTGGGCTTGAGTGACGTTGCGCCGGCTGAGGAATCGACGATACTTGTGCGCACGCAAGCGAAAATGGCGTAAATATGTATGTAAGTGAACGAAATGATTGGTCAATAAATAACCGCCGTCACAACTAATGCGTCAAACGCCGAACTTTAACCTTTCGCCGAGACCAAGACTAATGGCATTGCGCCGCTGCGAATGCCGCTGATTAGCGCAGCTTAGCAAACAGTCATTCAAACGTACATACCTATGTGTGTATGTATGTATATTCGAGAAATATGTTTGATATGTACACAATGATAAATTGGCGTTTGATTCTTTGTTATTTCAGCTGAAACACACATACATACATACATACATTTTTAAACTCTACGTACTGCTCTACACCAAATCTATTTTTTTTTTAGAAAAAACTTGTATTTTATAAACTTAGTGTTTTCATTTATTTTTCAATGATTAAACTTTAATTTATTCGTATGTATATAAGCAAGCTTTATTTATGTATTGTATTTATTCACATATTTATTGATTTATTGACTTATGTATTTGTGGCAAAGATTTACTCACTTAAAAATACTACGCTTAAGTTTCGTCACGATTATTTTGTGATTCAATATTTTACTGAAAATCTGCTTAGTTTTTAGTTCATTTGTTTTATATTCTTTGCTGTCATCTTTAAATTTAAGACTCTACGAAATACGAAATAAATCTAATTTATTTAAACAAACTTTTTCTTTTTGGTGTATAAAACAAAATATATATTGTATGTATATATATAATATATTAAATAAATAATATAAAAATTTATAATGTAAAATGTGAAAGAAAATTAAATTAAATAAAAGTAAACAATAAAGAGAAAATTAAATTACATAAGAAATTAATAATAAATTAAAACAAAAGTAAAAAACGAAATAAAATGAAATTAAAAATGAAAAAGTAAAATAACATAAAATAAAATTAAAAATAAAAATAAAAAAAGTAAAATAACAAAAAATAAAATTAAAATCAAACTTAATTAAAATAATTATAAGAAATTCAGCTAGCACAAAAATAAATAAACATAAAATTAAAGTAATAATAAATAAAAATAAATAATAGGTATAACCAAATAAAATAATAATATAAATTAAGCCGATGGCCTAGTTGCTAGTGCTTCATTATTATTTTTTTTGTGATTGTAATTTATTACTTTTTTCAATTTTAATATAAAAAATATTAATAAGAAATTCAAAAATAAATAAATACAATATGTAAGTAAAAATTATACTAAATAAAAATAAATAATAAGTAAAATCAAATAATATAATAATAACAATAAGAAACTCAACTACCATAAAAATAAATGAAACAAAACAATATTAAAAATTAAATTAAATAAAAATAAACAATAAAATAAAACAAAAATAAATTAAATTAAATCAAAAATTAATATAATAAAAATATAAATAAAATAATTAAAATAAAATTAATTAAAAATTAAATAAAATAAATAAAAAATATCAAATGGAGTTATGCAAAAATAGAACTAAAAAATGAGCAATAAATAATATAAAATTAAAAGAAATTTAATTAAAACTGTTAATATCAAACAGAATAAAATAAAAAATAAAATTAAACTGAAATAATGTAAAAGTTAAAAATTAAAGTAAAATAGAAAAACATTAATTAAATTAAAATCGATTTTTTTTATAGATTTATATAAAAAATAAAATGAAAATAAAACTGAAATAAAGTAAAAATCGGAAACAAATAAAAAATTAAATAACTAAAATTGAAAAGTAAAATAAAGTTAAAATCAAAATAAAATAAAAATTATTAAGAAAATAAATGAAAAACAAATAAGTAAAATAGCAAAATAATATTACAAACATTAAGAATTCTGCTTGACTGATACCGCTTCTCTTTGTTGTTTGGTGCCATTTAAGAATACCAAGTACAGTCACGTCCTTCTCCGCCTGATATTTTCAACGGAGTGAAGGCCACCCTCTTCTACTGCTCCCACCGGCAGATACTGCAATGAAAACCTTCAAAGCAAAGCTCGAGTGTTCTCATGCATGCGGGCCAATTACCTAGCCAGCGTAAGCGCTATAATCACATACAGCTCATCAATCAATCTATCGGCTGCAATATTCGCCGTTGCCAATACGCAAAGTATTTCCAAATCCTGGTGGGTGTTACCGCTTTTTCGTCCACCGACAATGTCCTCACTTCCAAATAGCAAAGCTACAATTTACAGCTGCTATTGGTTCGTTTAACAAGTTTAATTCTAAGATAAGTTTGCAGGTGAAGCAATGTGTATTGTCTTGGCGCTTTGTAACCGCATAACTACCATAGAAAAATTTAATCAAAAATAGGCTTAGATAATTGCAATTTTTTCTGCCTAAAAGATAGAATTTCGGGTTTCAGAAGTTTTTAATCAAGAAAAAAGGTTTATACTACCATATACACGTAAGGTCTTAATGAGTTTTCGGTACTAACATCTTCAGTTATTTTCATCGTGGAAATATTTCTTACAAATATAAAATGTATAGCATACTTTCAGGGTTAACAGATGTTAACTTGCCATGAGTTTTCTGTTTGGTGATCAACAAGATCAAATACAGTTTGAGAGACAATGGGATATCTATTGCGTATGCTTACAGCGCTCTCTTTACGCATTTATTGACTTTTTTTTGCATCTATGTATGTTCTTAAATATATATATACTGTTAAATAATGAATCATGCAAAGTGCAGATAACAAAGTGAAAGCTGGTCATCTCTCGCTCTTTTTCATTGACGTATGTACATGTGGTTACTTGATAATTACATAAAAACAATACAATATACATACATATGTGTCTGTAAGTGAGTAAATAGTACTAATGGAGGAATGGTATTTCCAATCTCAGTTGGTTTGTTTGATAACAACTGGGCATTCACCAAAATCGGAAACGAACATTTCGACCTGGCTGATGGCATGTGCCGCAGAATACAGCTGTAATTTCTAGCCATCACACATCTGTACGTACATACGTATATTTTGTTAGGTTGTAGGCAGCTCTCCGAGCGGTAGATCCGCATCAATTTTATAGCTTGTTCTTTGTGATGGCACGTTTTCGATTTTTTAAACGTTTATGAGATAGAGAGAGCCGAGAAGTAGACAAGACGCTTAATGCCAATAATGAATGCCATAATCCACACAATATTGATTAAGTTGGATTTTCGGTCTACTCTCTACCAAAAGAGTTAAATGCAACTTCGAAAGATTCTTCGATCATCGGAAATACACCCCAGCCCAGCTAACATTCAAAGGCCGCAAGGTAGCCGTCCCTTAATTTTGCTCGTTCTTATCGCGCAGTAGACCTACCGTTTACTTCATAACTACCGCTTTCACCTGAAAAACGTGAGTTTGGTCAAAAGCCAGAAACCGGGGTCACCGACTCTTGCACCTAGCTTCGACCCCTACGCATTTCTTAGAATGTATGACAAAGTAGAATCCTGTATCTAACTGCCATTCAATATTCCTCTGTTTTCCACCAACTGTCACCTTTCGAACTGGTATATCATCAACTCAAAAGCGGTTAAGCTTGCAAAAATGTAATCTTTGATATGCTTTGTTAAAGCGGAAGGAGTAAGGGAGTGTTCATAAAATACATATGTACTTATATGCATATGTAGCTCGGCACAGAGGAAAAATAAGTAAGTTTGACAAGGAGGAGGAATTGAGAGCAAATGAATAAATAATAAACAAAACAATGCTACACCAAATATGTGAGGGATGAGTCTCAAGAAAGGCCACGTTGGGTTACTTGAAGGCTTTAAGGGATCTCGAAAGGCCTTATATATGACCCGGCGGCTTATGGGCAATTCCAAAGTTAATAATCAACATGGGCTTGTAGTACTACTTAAAGAATCCTAGAGGTTGATCAAAGGATGTTACCAAAATAAGATCGATTCTTATTTACAACAGATATATACATACATATATAAAATTTCGTAGATACTAAAGGGTGATTTCTTAAGAGTTATAGGAGAGTTTTTCAAAAAAAAAAAAACACGTGAAATTCACAAAAATGCATGAAATCTTTATTTGAGTCGATAGTTCGGTCCATATAATTGAATGTTTAAAGAATATTTCATGCGAATGTTGACCGTGACTGCGCCTCAAATGGTACATCCGCTTACTCCGATTCTGGCATATTCTTTCCAACATTTCGGCCGGTATCTCACAAATGAAAGCTTCAATGTTGTCCTCCATTGCGACAATTCAAGCGGGCTTGTCTGTATAGACATTAGACTTAACATAACCCCACAAAAAATTTTCTAAAGACGTTAAATCGCACGATCTAGGCGGACAATTGACCGGTACGGAACGTGAATTAAAATATTCACCGAACTCGCCGTTCAATAAGTCCATAGTTACCGTGCTGTGTGGCATGTGGACCCGTCTTGTTGAAACCACATGTTATGAAGAAGTACGGTCCATTGATGCCATCCAGCCCATAAACCGCACCAAACTGTGACTTTTTCTGGATGCATTGGAAGCTCTTGCAATGCTTCTGGATGATTTTTACTCCATAATCGAAAATTCTGCCAAAACGAGCTTCGTCGTTGAGCACAATTTTTTTAACTTCATTAACACGTATTTTGATAATAAAGTATAATAATTTGGAAGCGTAGTTCGTTTTTAAGACGATTCAATTATAGACCAAACTGAAGATATTTGACAGTGGTACAAAACACGAAACTGCGTTACCTGTTGACCTAAACGGAACTAGGTCGCCGAAAGGTTGACAGCCCTTAGCCGGATAAAATCCGGCTCCGCAAAACTCCAGAGCTGCAACAAAATACTCAAAGCGCTAGCCGGCAGCACCTGGGGTAAAGACAAAGAAACTTTGCTGGCTACTTATAAAGCAACTGCCCGGCCGGTCGTAAACTATGCTGCACCGATCTGGGCGCCGGGGACGAGCGAGGCGCAGATGAAGAACCTACAGGCTTGCCAAAACACCACCCTCGGGACCGCGACAGGAAACCTCCTGATGTCGCCGGAGCATCACTTGCACAGCGGAGCATCTATGCTAAGAGTTAAGGATCATAACGCTTTGCTGTGAAAGCAATTCCTATAGGGATGCAGCCGCAGGGGGCAACCCAATAGGCACCTAACAAAACCTGAACCTCCACCTAGGCACATCATAAAGGGAGTACTAGATCTAAAGGACACAATCCAGCAACATGTGCAACAACCGCTGGACAGGACGGTGAGCAGACAAGCACTGAGCGCCATTCACCAGAAGTCACACCTTCAAAGACTTCCTTCCAGTGAATGACGTGCTCGGAGAAAAATCACCATCCATAGCAGACAATGAGCTCGAGCTGCCTCGTGAGACCCGCGTGACCTTGGCACAACTCAGGTTTGGATACTGCAGCAAGTTAAACTCCTACTTATCCAGGCTAGACCCCAGCATACTCAACTTATGCCCTGCATGTGGAGAGTACACCACCTCTTCACATGCCCTCTCAAACCAACTCATCAAACCCACCTCTCCCTTCGGTCCAACACCGTCGAAACAGCTAGTTTGCTGGACCTCCCATTAGGTAACCTCGGCGACTTAGATTAATCTAACCTGTGCCTAAGAGGCATTAGCGAAACGCTACAACAACAACAACACCAAACTGCGTCAGCTGTTTAAGCCAGTGTTGCTAAAAAGGCAATAGCTAAAAAAATAAATCACCCTTACCATTTTGTAGGCAATAATTGACCTTTATTAAACAGTTTCCTATTCAAATGATTAGTGGAAATGTTCATTCCCAAATGTTTATATTGTTACGTTATTCCTTTTTCTTAATTGAAATAAATAAAAAATTTAACTATTGAGAAATAAGATTGGATATAAAAATTTATTTTTCTACCGCTTTTTGGACAACCCTAAGGTACTCGTTAACTGTTTTTTACTCATTTGAAAAACATTTTTTATTTTTTTTATAATTATTTATAAAAAAAACATAAATGAAAAATTAAGAAATTATTTTTAAAAGGTTTTGAAATTTTTAAGAAATAAATTGCACAAAAACTCATGCATAAATATTATTATTTATTTTTTCATCAAGTGTAATAAATTCAAATAAATGTTCTTATGCCTTGTTTTTTACTTTTCCTCCTTATGCAATTGTAGGTTAGCAACAAAGGATCAATAATTTCATTTTCGGTAATTCCATTTACAAACATCAAAAGTATAATTTGCAGTTTTTTCTTCTTCGATTAGAAAAAAAAATTCCATATCAAGCACGACAATCTCTGACCCATCATCTTTCTGCCTTCTGAACTCTCCTATCAATTTACTAACAACGTGCTTTCGCCTGGTGCTGCGCTTTCCGCTCCCAACACGCAAAATGCACAAAATACATAGCGAATGGTGAGCACATAAAGAAACCGACGACCGGTCGCGCTCTCTAATGCTTCCTAAAAGTATTTATTTGCTTTTCCGTATCCACACACGATGATTCGCTTCGTGTTTGAGAGGGGAAATGAGTGTAAAGAGAAATGTTTTGAGATTTTATATGCAGACATGGAATGCTAATCAATATTAATAAATAGAATTATATATTGTACATTTACATATATACATACATACATATATATATATATATATATATATATATTCATAACGCACATTTCACTAGCGAATGTAGAAGCAGCGTAGCGAAGAAGATGAGAAATACTTCATTTTATGCATTGTTTTTTAGCTTTCAAGATTGACTGCCAGCTGATCTTGCCAATCGGCCAAAGCATGCATATGCATGTATGTATGTATGCACGTATATACATAAATGCAAGAGCACTGCTAGCGTCGCTGTCTTTCAAGCTCCATGCCGGGAGACGCATACTGTTTTTGGATTTGTTTGCACCACGTTTAGTTCAGTTCAGTTCAGTTGCCTTCAAAGCGTTGTCGTTAGCAGTTGTTCGCTCGTTGGACAGTCTGGTACATACATATGTATGTACAGATATAAACCCGTACATTCGTACGTGTGTCCATATAAAGTTGCTTTCGTATCTACAGTTTACTTGACTTGTGTGCAATAAAATTTCCTCTAATTTTCGGTTCTTTGTGCACGGTTACGCGACAGCAGTTGGGCTTTTGCGATCGCCAATAACAAGATTCTAATTAGAATAGTGGATAAATAGAAATTGAAAACAAAACAAAACGAAACAAAAAAAAAGCCAAAAAAAAGTAGGTATCTTTTAGCGCGATATCTACGGAAAAGATAAAAATCAACACAAAACTAGTGTTAAAAATATGCAAAGAGAAAAAATGAAAATACATTTTTTTTTTTTATTAGGTTCATGTTTTGTTCGCTTCGATCGCCATTGCCGTTCAATTGACATAGTTTAGTTTTGAAAATAATTTGTTTTTTCTTTACTGTTGATTTTGTTTCATTTTCTTTTAATTTTAATTTTTTTTTTATTTCTAATTTTCTGTTAATTTTTTTTATTTACTTTTATTATATATTTTTTTTTACTTCTCACAGTTTTTTTTTTTTATTAGTTACTTCTTTTGTGCTTTTTTGTTTTTACTATTCTTCTGTAATTTTTATCGCGTGCAGCGAGTGCGAATTTATTGTGCTCTCAACTTCACATGTTGTTGTGTAAAAGAAAGCGGTAAATATAAAATATAAAAAGAAAATGAAAGTAGCAGCCTTAACGAACAAAACAATAATAATAAATGTAATTGTATTTATACTGAAATAAAAAAAAAAAATTAAAAAAAAAATAAAAGCGTGGAAAAAAACTAATGGAAATTAAAATGTGCAAGCATTTTTATAACAACAAAAAAACATTTATAGCAGCCAATAAGCCACCCACTCTCCCTCTCACTCTCACTCTCTGTGTGCGTTTTCCGAACCCACTCAGCTGGTGCGTGATCGGCTCTTCATTGCGTGTGCATATGTTCACGTGCGGTCTGCTCTTAATTTAGTAACAATCAAATAAAAAAATAAATTTATGCATACATATATATCTTTGTATATGTCTGTATGTATAACAAAATAAATATTTAACTAACGCTTTTATAGAATTTTTGTACTGTTCATGCAATCAATCGCTTGCCACACCAATATTTAATTGCTTGGGCGGAAGGTATGTATGTATGTACTCGTATGTAGTATGTGGCTGCCCGTACTGTTTGGACGTAATTACTGCCGACTAAGCAAATAAAAGCTACTAGCGTATGCGGTGTATAATCATCGATGCAACAAAAGCTGTTATTTTAATGGAATATTATTTTATTTTATTTTTTTTTTAAATTCTCTTTACTCATAGAAAATATCTTTGTAAATTTTATAATTTGCATATTTGTGAAATTAAATATATATTTTTTTTTAATTTTAGTATATATTTTAATTTAAAATTGTACCGTTTTTTTACTTCTGTGATCAGTTTCAATAAAATAATGAAAAATATATGCGTATATGTACTCGTATGTGCATACATACATATGTATTTCTTAAATAAAATACGCATGTCACAAGTTTACCAACACCCTCTCTCCGCACTCACGTTAATTTCGAATTTTCTCTTAATTTATTTTTAATATATTTTTAATAATTTGTGTTTACGTTTACGTTTATGTTTATGTTCATTTTTATTTTTTTTATTTATCTCGACATTTTTGGTTGTAAACAAAACGATTTGTGTTTGAAATGGAGTTATAGCGGTGGTTTTTCAGAATCAGGTGTTGTTGTTGTTGTTGTAGCCTCCGGATAAAATATTTATTTATATGTTGTTACTATTGTTTTTGTTGCTGTTTTTTTGGTTCTTCAACACCGCGTAGGAACATGCGAAACTGGTCTAAGTTATCGAGTTCACCTAATAAGAGATCTGTTTCGAGCTGTTTCGCCAGATGCGAGCCAAAGGGAAAGGAAAAGGGGGCGTTAGATGAGTAGGATCCCATTACTCGAGTCTGAATAGGCAAGAAACAGGTATTACTCGGGACTCTCGGGACAACTTGAGCTCTTCGTTTGCAATGTGTGGTGCTTGTATTAGGAGATCATCATTTACTGGAAGAAAGTGTTGATGGACTCTCGGTGAATGACGTTTAAGTACTGTACTGCGACTCTTGTGTATGTTGCGTCATAATATCGGTGTAGTCTTGTACTCCCTTCCTGATGTGCCTAGGTGGAGGTTCAGCCACCCGATGATAGCATGCCATCAGATATTCCATGCACAGCATGACATTATGCTCCTTAACTCGTGGCTTAGATGTTTCAATTCGAGCTGCGTAATTTATGACAGGTCAGCCAATCGCCTTGTATGTTGCGGGCGACGTTTCCTTGTATTTTCACCAGGAGCTGTCGGCCAATGACTTTACGATTCTGATGCGACTCCTTACTTTAGTGGAAATTGCAGTCGTATGCTGAGTAAAGGAGTGCAGACTTGTCGGAATTTTTACGCCATCGTTTTCAATCGATAATTCTTCGTCCCGCTGGTGGAAAGGATTGCTGAGGATTTCGCAGCTTATAGTTATAGCTGTGAGATAGCAGATTCCTGCGGAACATAAGTTAATAATATCCCTACCAGACGCCAATATGGAGCAATTCAAGAGAAGAGTGGAAAGCACATTCTCCTAGGGAACTCCTTGTTGAACCTATTGGTGCTTAGAAGTTTAACTTCCAAACTCCATCGATGACTGCCGACCACTCAGGAGAGCTATAGTTCACCTCTTCAACATCGTCGATAATTATAAATCCTCTATGTCATAGTAGCACTGATTTGACACTGTCAAACGCTTTTGACAGATACAGTGCTATTAGGACAATTCGCGCACAAAGTCGGTTTTGTGCCAAGTCCATGGACTATCTAAGTTTTTACGGAGTTAAGTACGGTTGTGATGCTATGCACTTTTCGGAAGCCGTACTGATGTTCTGCTAGGCTCTGATGGTATTTTTAAAAACAGGAGCCTCAATTGTCTTTGCTACTGTGGAGAGGAGAGATGTCGGCCAATATAATTCTGGCTGGCTAACTGGTTTTCCCGGTTTAAGTAGTGCGATCACCCAAATCATTTTCCACATATGTATGTGGTTTTAATATGGGGTGGTCAAAGGGAAATTAAGAACCTTGGTAAGGTATTGTGCTCGCGCTGATTGTAGATGTTTTAGCATCAGCACGCTTATTCCGTTGAACCTGATGGATTTGGAAGCTTTCGATTTCTCGAAATTCAAGTGGTACACTGGTATTTGACAAAATTGTCAACCGAAGGGTGCTGTGTAAAATTTAGTTAAATTTGGTCACGCACTTCTTATGGCCCGACGAGCTACGGTCACTGAATGATATTCGCCCCGATCGTCACATCTCGTCGGGTTAGACAAAGAATTCACACCGGTCTCTCTCTCTCTCTCTCTCTCTCTCTCTCTCTCTCTCTCNAAAATAAAATAAAATAAAATAAAATAAAATAAAATAAAATAAAATAAAATAAAATAAAATAAAATAAAATAAAATAAAATAAAATAAAATAAAATAAAATAAAATAAAATAAAATAAAATAAAATAAAATAAAATAAAATAAAATAAAATAAAATAAAATAAAATAAAATAAAATAAAATAAAATAAAATAAAATAAAATAAAATAAAATAAAATAAAATAAAATAAAATAAAATAAAATAAAATAAAATAAAATAAAATAAAATAAAATAAAATAAAATAAAATAAAATAAAATAAAATAAAATAAAATAAAATAAAATAAAATAAAATAAAATAAAATAAAATAAAATAAAATAAAATAAAATAAAATAAAATAAAATAAAATAAAATAAAATAAAATAAAATAAAATAAAATAAAATAAAATAAAATAAAATAAAATAAAATAAAATAAAATAAAATAAAATAAAATAAAATAAAATAAAATAAAATAAAATAAAATAAAATAAAATAAAATAAAATAAAATAAAATAAAATAAAATAAAATAAAATAAAATAAAATAAAATAAAATAAAATAAAATAAAATAAAATAAAATAAAATAAAATAAAATAAAATAAAATAAAATAAAATAAAATAAAATAAAATAAAATAAAATAAAATAAAATAAAATAAAATAAAATAAAATAAAATAAAATAAAATAAAATAAAATAAAATAAAATAAAATAAAATAAAATAAAATAAAATAAAATAAAATAAAATAAAATAAAATAAAATAAAATAAAATAAAATAAAATAAAATAAAATAAAATAAAATAAAATAAAATAAAATAAAATAAAATAAAATAAAATAAAATAAAATAAAATAAAATAAAATAAAATAAAATAAAATAAAATAAAATAAAATAAAATAAAAATAAAATAAAATAAAATAAAATAAAATAAAATAAATAAAATAAAATAAAATAAAATAAAATAAAATAAAATAAAATAAAATAAAATTAAATTAAATTAAATAAAGTAAAAAATTAAGTAAATAATTTGAAGTATTTTATAAAGAAATTTAATAAAATAATTTGAATTAAAATAAAAAAATGAGAACAAAGTAGTATAAAATCAATCAAAAACGCAAAAAAAATTTACTTAAAATAAATTAAGATAAAAATAAAATGAATTGAAATAAACGTTATCATTGAAACTTTACAAGAAGTAATACAATATGCAATTATGAACACTTATTTGTATATGCATAAATATACATATGTAACATACATACAGCGTACTACCAAAGACTCACGTAAACCACAGTCCCGCATTTTTTTATTTTCTCATTTTTTGTTCAAAAGAATTCTATTATTTCTGGTGAGTAATTGAAAGCAAACAAAACAAAATGTATTAAATTAAGGTTTTGCTCTCAATCGAGTATGTTTTTATAGTCATTTTGACGATAGTAGTAAAACTTGTCTGACGCACGTGTACTGAACGATAAATAAGCCAAAAAGAACAGACAACAAATAGTGTTAGCAGAAATAGAAACAACAACAGAGAATTGAAGCATATAAATACCGGTATGTTTTGCCAACACATAAAGCATTTGGCCATAAATTTCTCATACATATATACGAGGGAGGAACGAAATAATCAAATATTATTTTTTTTTTTTTGAAAGTGAAACTATTCAATGAAATTTTTTTGTTGGAAAAAAGTTGGCTTTAAAATTCTTAAATTCTTTAATTAGAAAATATAAAAAATTCACTTGCTAATTCGAAAATGCGCTAACTGGAAATTTGCAAGCTCGGTTACCAACGGCATCG